CCTCCCTGCCTCTCCCGCTCACTCCGAGAGCAGGCGGTGCTGCGGCCCTGTGCTGTGGCCGCTGTGCTGGGCGAGGCCTCCCCGGGGTGCCCCTCTGCATCCCGCCGGTCCGAGAAGGCACGCGGTGCTGTGTGGGAGGAGGGCGGCTGGGAGGGCCGCCAGGGGCGCTAACTGTGGCCACCTCCGCAGATCACCAGCGCCGCAGACTCGGAGGCCGTCACATACCAGAAGCTGGTGAAGGGGCACGCGTACTCCGTCACCGGGGCAGAGGAGGTACGGTGCTGGGGCGCGCGGCTGTGGCCGCCCAGCAGGCCCCACGCTGCCCACAGCGTTCACCACAGCCTTGCGCTGAACCAGCCACGTGCAGCTCTGCCCCTGCCTGACAGCTGTGCCCTTGAAGATGCCCCACCAGACTCAAGGGCATCCTCAGTGCTCGTGTGCCCGTGGCCTCCTGCCATGGCGTGGCCTGGGCACTACTCAGTTCGCGCCCAAAAGTGGGCGACCGCACCTGCACGAGATGCTCCGTGTAGAGTGCGGGGCCAGGCCACTTCTCCGGGCAGTGTGGCGGGCAGCCCGGCCCAGCCCACTCCGGCTGCGCTCCTTACTGAGCTCCGTCCCTGCGAAGCCCACCCCACAGTGGGCCACACCACAGGCCCCACTTGCACGTCCACCCTCCCCACCATCCTGGTGCCCGGGGCGCAGGCTCAGCCTCTCCCTGCCTCTCGCCCTATCCTCAGGTAGAAAGCTCAGGAAGCCTGCAGAAACTGATCCGAGTGCGGAACCCCTGGGGACAGGTGGAGTGGACCGGGAGGTGGAACGACAGGTGAGCAGGGTGCTGAGGGTGCTGAGCTGGGTGGGCTTCCTCCCAGGAGACCTCTGAGGTGCGGACGGGCGCTGTGGGCCGGGTGGGATGGTGCCTCGGTCACAGCCACACTGAGCCTGGTGCCGGGAGCCCCCGGTCCCGCCAGACTCCCTTCCGGGGTGCTGCATGATGGGGAAGAGGCCCCCGGGTTTCAGTGCCCTGGCAGAGCTCCAGGCCGTCTCAGGCCCCTGCCGCTGCATCGCTTCCTGCGGTCCCTGGCCTGTGCCCGCCTGAGCCGCTCTCCTGGCAGCGTCCAGGTTCTGTAAAGAGCTTTGCTCCTCTGTGGCTCAGCCTGGCGGGAGCTGGGTCTGTCAATGGTGGGCCTGTCAATGGTGGGCCTGGCCCTGCTCCGGGGGATGTGGGCGAAGTCGCCGTTACACACGTGTTCCTGAGGCCCGTGCCACTGCTCTTCCCCCAGCTGCCCAAACTGGAACACGGTGGACCCAGAGGTGAGGGAAAGGCTGACCGTGCGGCTCGAGGACGGGGAGTTCTGGTAAGGCGGGCAGACGCTGGGAGCCGCGCTGGCCTCAGCACAAGCTCGCTGCCTCTCTCATCCTCTCTCTCTCCCTCTCTCCCTCTCTCTCTCTCTCTCTCCCTGTGTGTATGTGTGTGTGTGTGTGTGTGTGTGTGTGTGTGTGTGCACGCACGCGCACGCTAACTGGGGACTGAACCCAGGTCCTTTGCACCAAGCCGCATCCCCAGCCCTTATTTTGAGACAGGGTCTCACTAAGTCACAAATTGCCAACTTGGGACCCTCTCAGCCTCCCAGAGTGCTGCATTTACAGGCAGATGCCACCATTCCCAGCCCACCCAGTGGCAGAAAGTTGGTAATGAGAGTGAGTTCATTATGGCAAGGACATGATGTCTTAAATTCACTAAAGACCCCACACAAAACCATCCTCAGCCTCAGGAACCTGTCGTCTCACAGGGAGTCCCCCTTCCTGTGCTGCTCAGGCTCCCAGGAAGTGCAGGGGAGGTGGGGTGTTCTCGCGAGGGCTCTGCACACCTGACCACCCCTGCACTGGGCCCCACACCGCATGTCTGCACTGCTGTGGGATGTCCTGCAGCTCAGCTCAGCTCAGTCTTCCATGTCGTCCCTGCTCCAGATAGTGCCCCGGGACTGGCTCAAGCCACCCAGCTGGCAGGGCAGCTCAGCCTCGAGCTGGGCTGCAGGTTCTGGGCCGGGTCCACCACTGGGCCTCAGGCACTGCGCAGCCTGGCCTTGACCCGCTCACCTGGCCTCGGTGGAGATCAGGGCTGGGACCTGAGCTGCAGGTGACCAGGGTGCGGGTCCCTCCTTGCCAGGATGTCCTTCGGCGACTTCCTGAGGCACTATTCCCGCCTGGAGATCTGCAACCTGACCCCTGACACCCTCACCAGCGACACCTACAAGAAGTGGAAGCTGACCAAGATGGACGGGAGCTGGCGGCGGGGCTCCACTGCGGGCGGCTGCAGGAACTACCCGAGTGAGCCCCACCCCTCCGCACCCTCCCTGCAGGTGTTCCCTGGAGACTGCTGTCTTCCAGGTCCCCAGCCCTGGGCCTGCCTGGCCTGCCTCATGCTGAGCTGCTTCTCCAGCCAGATCTTCCCAGGCCCCATGAGGGAGGCTGCCCACAGCCTCTGTGCACCCCGGGTTGCTGGCAAACCCGCTGGGGGGCTGTCTGGCTCCTGTCAGTCCCTTGGCTCCTGGAGACACCAGATTGTGGGTGCACACAGGCTCCAGGTGTGTCCCGAGCGCTTGCGCACCGCACCCCTTCCTCTCCCCAGCAGACCCACTACCATCTCCTGCACCTTCACCACGCAGGGTTGAGGTCATGGAGCCACAGTGATGCCCAAGGCCATGCAGCCACTGGGACTGGAGCCAGGCAGGCTAAGGGTGCCAGTGTGCGCCTGCCTGGTCAGTCCTGTCCTGGCTGTCACCCATGAGGATGGGAGTTGCAGTGTGCACCCAGCCCAAGACTGCAGGGCCTGGGGACCAGGAATGCAGCCACCAAGTGCAGGCTCTCCAGGCTGCGCTCCACCCGCCTTCCCTCTGGGCTCCCTGGGAGGTGCCCCAGCCCCAAGAACCTGACCCCCAGGCTGAGCAGCCACTGGAAGTCCTGCAGCTGGACCCCAGCCCACCACTCTGCTCCCCTCTCTCCCGTTGCCTGCCCCTCAAGCCACTCAGGGAGCCCTCTGCCCCCTTGTAGACACCTTCTGGATGAACCCCCAGTACCTGATCAAGCTGGAGGAGGAGGATGAGGACCAGGAGGATGGTGAGGGTGGCTGCACCTTCCTGGTGGGCCTCATCCAGAAGCACCGGAGGCGGCAGAGGAAGATGGGCCAGGACATGCACACCATCGGCTTTGGCATCTATGAGGTGGGTGCTGTCTGCCCCCTTCCTGGGCGCTCCTCAGGGAGGAGCCAGCAGGCAGGGAGCTGAGGCACGCAAAGCCATGGGGCCTGTGGGTCACACAGGTCCCCAATCCCTTCCTGAGCCCCCAGCAGGCTCCTGAGGTCTTCTCCAGAATAGTGGGATGGCACCCCACCTCTTCCATATCCCCCATTATGGTTGCTCCCCCATTCCAGAACCCAGAGGTGACAGCTGAGCAAAGCCTTGGTCCCGTGGAGGACAGTGAGGGCTGGACAGCCACGGGCCCAGTGCTCAGCCCAGCGGGGCTGCTGCCAGCCCAGGCAGCGCTTAAGACAGGAGAGGGACACCGTCCCCAGGGCCTTCTGGCCGCACCACTCCTATAATCAGCCTGCCTCTGTCCCAGCCCAGCCCTTCATCTCAGCCAGAGCTCTGCACAGCCTGTCCTGGCCAAGGCCCAGCCAGGCAGGGCCAGGCAGCTGTCCCCTCCCTGTGTACTGTGTGGCCTTGGGCTGTATCACTGAGGGGAGAGGAGCGGCCAGGCCTCAGGGCAGCTGAGAGGTGGGTCTTGCTTTGGCAGGTGGACCCCACTGAGGGGCTGCAGACAGCTCCTCCAGGCCCCCAAAGCTGCCCCGTGTTGCCCCTCAGGCTGGCCGGAGGCTGGCATGGGGTGGTGACACTGGGAAATGGCAGGTGCCCCCAAACAGGGCTCCCGCTGCCCACAGCAGTCTCCACACTGGCGCCCACAGCAGCCTTTCAGCCTGTCCCCTGGGAATGGGCAGGCCGTCCACACCCACAGGGAGGGTCCCTGTGGAAACCTATGCTCCTTGGGATACTGCACTGCTTCCCAGACCCAAGCGCAGGCCCTTTGTTTCGCAGGTTCCAGAGGAGGTACGTCTGCCTGCTTCGGCCTCCAAGGGATGAGTCTCCCCTCACCTCAAGGCTGCTGAGGTTGCTGGGCTCTGGATCCCCACGAGGCATGGGGAAGGCCTTGGGGCTGTCACCTCTCCAGACCACAGGGCAGGCTAGGCCTGGGTCCGGGCACATGGCCGCTCGGGCTCCCAGGCCAGATGACCACTGTCCTGCACCAGCTGCAGTGGCACGAGTCAGGCCCCACCAGGCCGGAGAACGCCAGTTAGGCCAACAGCCTCTGTTGAGTGCCGGCAACTGTGGCTTTCAAGGCCTGGTTCTGGAAGTGGGCATGCAGGAAGGCAGGGCCCTGGTTCCCTGGCTGGGCGGCTGGGCCCTTCCTGCCCGTGTCTCGGCTTTGCTCCCCAGTGCATGGTCCAGCATCCCCGGGACTCTGTTTCCCACCTGCAGGGAAGCCGGGCCACCACGGGAGGGTGGGCCTTGCAGACAGCTGTGGACACCGCTCCGGGCCCGCCTCCCAGGCAGCCCTTGGCGGTTCGATGCAGACAGCGAGGGCACTGCCGTCCAAGCGGCTGGCTCGTTGCTGCGGTGCTCGTCCAGGTTCGCTCTGCTTGCCCCTCAGCTGGCCGGGCAGACCAACATCCACCTGGGCAAGAACTTCTTCCTGACGACGCGTGCCCGCGAGCGCTCAGACACCTTCATCAACCTGCGGGAGGTGCTCAACCGCTTCCGGCTGCCCCCGGGGGAGTACATCCTCGTGCCGTCCACCTTCGAGCCTCACAAGGATGGCGACTTCTGTGTCCGTGTCTTCTCCGAGAAGAAGGCCGACTACCAGTAGGTGGTGCGGCGCTGTCCCCCGTGGTCTGGCCCGGTGCCTCTAGGTGGTGTCCTCACTCTGCAGGTGGAGAGGGGTGTGGAGGAGTTTCGGGGCTGTCACTGAGCCTGGAGGCCGCCGATGGCCATGCCGGACAGGGTGGCTGGGAGATGCACAGAATCCGGTTCAGTTGCGTCTGAATGACCGAGTGGGTCTCTCACCCACAGCCTGCACTGAACTCTCCCTGTCACCCCATGTGGAAGGGGCTGGCAGTGCTGGCAGAGCCGTCCTCGGTGGCCTCAGCTCCAGAGCTGCCCCACCACAGTCTGGGGGTCTCCTTGGTGGGCATCAGGCCTCTGTCCATGTGGCCTCCGCCCACAGTGGCGCCTCCGCCCTGGGCACCTTCCAACTGTTCGTCAGCAGGTGCCTGAGGGCAGGAACAGAGCCCACTTCGGGGGACTCAAGCAGAGGGAGACTGGCTCAAGCTCTGACCCTGGTGGAGCCTGGGGACTGGATGTAGGGGGGCTGGGGTACAGGGCAGGGCAGCTCCTGCACCTAGTGCCATCCTGCTGAGAACAAGGGACACAACCGGGACCAGTGACAGCCCTGCCCCTCCCGACCAGCCCCTATACCCTGGGCTCCCTCCAGGGTGAGGCCCTGAGCACTGGCTTCCCTGTCCCAGCCCTGTCCTTCCTGTGGTCAGGTTGTGGGATCCCAGGTCTGGGCTGGACAGGGTCCCCCCAAGCCTACCAGCCTTCCTGAGGGGCGGAAGGACGTGCTGTGTGCGGCATGGAGGGACCATGGCCCAGCGGCGGCGGTGACACCTAAGTGGCTCTCATAAGCAGTCCCTCAGGGCCAGAGCCAGGGATGCACCTGGAATCACAGCAGCACGACGGGAGGGCTGCATCCGGGACAGCTCTGAGACCCTGGGATGTGGCCTGTGTGCCGTCCTCACCAGGGCCTCTAGCCTTGAGGACCAACAGCTTCCTCTCATTTCCAGGGCTGTGGACGATGAAATCGAGGCCAACCTGGAAGAGGTACCTGCCTGCCTCTGCCTCCTCTGCAGGCCCCAGAGCTCAGGGAGCAGAGGAGATTCCTGGGGTCCCCGGCCCCCCCGCCCCATCACCTGCACACAGAGCACAAAAGGCCACTTCAGCTAGGCGCTGAGGACACAGCCCGAATGCAGCTCACAGTACAACCTCCCCGCACTCAGAGCCCTTGGGCCTCTTCTCCCGTCTTTTGTGGCCACCCCACGCCCTTAGAGTGGAGCTGAGGCGAGAGACGGGAGGGCAGCCTGGGGACACTGAGGTCCCGGCGACACCACCTCTGCCCTTGCCTTGCAGATCGACGTCGGCGAGGATGACATTGACGACAGCTTCCGCAGGCTGTTTGCCCAGCTGGCGGGGGAGGTGGGTGTCTGCTCTGGGCCCTCCTGGGGTCTGGGTCTCTGTGGAGGTTGTTTTACTTCCTCGGGGTCCAAAGTATTTCCAGCAGCGATGCCAGCTTCCTGTCCTTACCCAGCAGAGGGCCCTCTCCCATCAATGTCCTCTGCCCGTGGGGTTTCGCTCTCCGTGACCACCCGCCCCTCTGGGCCTCTGCCCGGCAAAGCCTCCCAAGTGCCCCAGTTGCCCAGCCCGAGCCCCAGCCCCTCCTCCCTCCTGGTCCCAGGGCAGGCACTGGAGGTGGCTGTCTCCCACTGCCTGCATCACACCTGGCCCGGCTGCAGGAAGGCAGAAGGCTGCAGGCACCCGGCTTCAACCCTGGGGCTGCCACACAAGTCTACCCTCAGCCTCAGTGTGGGCTGCCAGTGCCCACGGAGCCTGGCGAGAGGCAGAGGCCAGTGGGGGCCAGATGGCGCCTGCAGCCAGCGCTGCCCAATGCCAGAGCCCGAGTGATAAGGCTAGAGAGGACCAGTGAAGGTCGTGTATGACACAGCAACTCGAGCTCTGGCAGGAGCAGGCTGGACAGAACTGCTTGTGAGGGCCAGGACAGAGCTGCCAGTGTCCTCGGGCATGAGACCCAGTCCCAGGCAGTGACCGTACTCCGGTCCCCTTCTACAGGATGCAGAGATCTCCGCCTTCGAGTTGCAGACCATCCTGAGGAGAGTGCTGGCAAAGCGTGAGTGTCCCCCAGCCCCGTGGATGCAGAGGACACGCACCCCCCAGACAGCTGCTTCTACTGCCTTCTCCAGGCCGTGGCTGGGGAGGGTCCCAGAGACATAGTGGCCAAGAGTACATGTTTCCGGGCCCCGAGGGCAAAGCTGGTGTCCTCTGCCAGCCGGCCTGGCACCCAGCCACACCCACAGCCGCCTGTTTCCTCTTCTGAAACATGGCCCAGCATCTTGTGGGAGGTAACACGTGGGGACCCAAGGGGCTACAGCACCCAGGGAGCCAGGAAGCACTGGATCTGCCCAGCTCTCTGGCCGCCTTTAGTGGGAATCTGTAGTGACGTCTGTCTCTCTGACTGGTGTCAGGGAGAATAAACGTCCATCTCACAGGACGGGCAGGGAAGCGGCCGCCCAGCCTCAGTCGGGTTTGTGCGCCTGACAGTGGGCCTTGTCCTCACAGAGCCTGCGCCACAGAAGCAGCCCATGGCTTCTGGACTCAGTGCAGTGGCCATGAGCCCAGGACAAGGGACAATCAGAACTGGACAGGGACTGGGGCAGCCGCACCCAGGGTGAAGGGCCGTACCCCCACCAAGGTTCACACTGCGGGAGGGAGAGGTCCACTGTCCCCCGGAGTCAGGAAAACCTGGGTGGGAAGCAAATGCACGGACTGCCTGTGGCACTCAGAACTCCGCCCTGGGGCGGGCTTGGGAAGCCCCAGCCTCTGAAGATGCCGCTCCCACCCCCAGGTTAAGCACACTCTGCAAGGCAGGGTCAGGCCCACGCCTTGGTGCACCTCCAAGAGGCCCCTTCTGGTGTAGATGAGAGGACAGGGTTTACCCTCGAGGCCACCAGGCACAGGGTCATACACAGGACACTTCAGGCCTGCAGCTGCCCCGAGCCACAGATGGAGGCGGGAAGACTCAGACCTCACTGGGCTCGGGCTCCCAGGGTCGTTTTCCTCCCAGCCCGTCTCTGCCGTCGCCCAGGCAGCAGCTCAGGACAGGGCAGGACAAGGCCATGACCCCAAGGCTCCCTTGCTGTCCTGGGGACCCAGTGCACTTGTGACACAGCCTGTTCCTGCCTGGAGAGTGTGGGGCTCCGGGAAGCTTCCCACCCCTGGCCCCTGGGTCGGGGCCACAGTCAAGAGTCCACACCCACAGGCAATGGCTGACGCCCTGCCCCTCACGGATCTCAGCCTGTGACACGTGACCACAGGCTGCTGTCCACCCTGGGGGCACCTAGAGGTCCACTCCTGTCCCCTTCTCGTATTTAAAAAGCACCGGGCCGTGGGCTGTGACACACATACTTGTAATCTCCACTGCTTGGGAGGCAGAGGCAGGAAGATCGCGTCAGCTCAGGAGTTCAAACCAACCTGGGCAACAGAGAGATTCCATCTCTAAATAAATGAATGAATAAAAATAAAAAACAAAAAGCAGTTTTTAAAGCCCTGCTGGCTACAGCAGACACAGAGAAGTCAGGCAAATGCAGCGTATTCTCGGCATGGGGCATTGTGGCAGCCCATGTCTGTGGCTGCTTACATGGCATAGGGCAGGATCACTGCACCCCCAGTTCTGCTGAGCAGTGCTCCCCAGGTGACGCCTGTCCTGCTGTCTCTCAGGACAGGACATCAAGTCAGATGGCTTCAGCATCGAGACCTGCAAGATCATGGTGGACATGCTGGATGTATCCTTTATGCTGAGGGGCTGGCTGGGTGCAAGCCCCACCCGGGAGTACCTAGGCCCAGCTCCCCACGGATGGCTGTCCCTAGCCCTGACATCCTTTCCCATGGATGCAGCACACCCACAGTCCCCTGCCTAGAGCACCTCAGGGTTGTTTCCCGAGTGATACTGTAGAAAATACTCCCTAAACCATAAGTTCCCTGATGTGGGGGCACATGCTTGTAATCCCAGCACTTTGGGAGGCTGAGGCAGGAGGATTGCAAGGTCAAGCTCAGCCAGGGCAACTTAGCAACTTATGAAGATCCCATCTTTAAAAAAAAAAACAATTAGAAGGGCTGGGAGGGCGCTCAGTGTGAGGCCTGGGCTTCAACTCCCAGTCTCCAGTGTGAGTCTGTTTTCTACCTTCTAAGCATCCCCTTCCCTTCTGCTCCAGCCCTCCCTCAGCCACACCTCCTAAGAGCAGAGGGCCCGGGTTCCCTCGTGCTGCGTGTGGGGAGGAGCGCCCCGAACACGCCCCCAAGGTAACTGCCCCTGGAAACTAACTGCCCCCCAGGGCCACTCCAATACCTCGCACAGAGCTGGCCACTGCCCCTGCTGCAGGCCTCCTACAGGCAGAGGTGAGGTCTGTGAAGCAGAGGTAGGGCATCCTCTGAAAAGCTCAGGCAGAAGACACGGCAGGCAGGTGGCACTGCCCGCGAGCTTTCCTTGACCGAGCCAGTCGGATGGGAGCGGCAAGCTGGGGCTGAAGGAGTTCTACATACTGTGGACGAAGATCCAGAAGTACCAGGTGGGACTCGGGGGTCTGTCGGAGGGACATCTCCAGGGGACAGGACTTCACCTGCTCAAGGAAGCAATGATGTGAAAGACGGACGGACTGATGGACAGACAGACAGACAGGCCCGCAGTGGTCCACACCCCACACTCACCTGATGAAGGGCGTACCAAGAGCCACCTCCAAGGGCTTCCTGAAAAGGGACCCTGGGTGCCTTGACCTTAGACTGTGACAGCTCAAGTACCAGCATTGAGTAAGGCCCTGAGCCGGCCTGTGTAGCTGGCAGCCATGTGACAGCCACACTTAGAAACAGCCAACAGAGAAGGTCAGTGCCACTGACTACATAAGCAGGGACCCGGGCGACTCGGCCAGGCTACCTGGGATCCCCAGGAACCCAGCCCATTTTGCCTCAGGTCACGATCTTCCTAACCTTCTTGCATGTTCCAGAAAATTTACCGGGAGATCGACATAGACAGGTCTGGCACCATGAACTCCTATGAGATGCGGAGGGCGCTGGAGGAAGCAGGTAATGCTGTCCCTACCCTGTGCCCCGCCTGCTCAGTCCATGCTGGTCCAAGACACACAAGCCCAGCCCACTGTACCTGCACAGCCAGCTGGCCCCACAAGACAGTGGTGGCGCTGCCTCCATGTGTCCTGGCATCAGTGTCTTGTCCTGGCAGGGTGGGCAGGCAGAGCTGCACCACAGCAGACACCCCGCGTCCCCTTCCCTGCAGAGCTGGCCGGCGGGAACGACCTCCCAGCCAGCTCAGCCTTCTCAGGCCTGGCTGTGGGTACAGTGTGGTGTCCAGCAGGGGAGACTGGTGTGCTGGGGGCAGCAGGACACTGTCGTGTGCTGTTCTCGGTGACGCAGCACTGCGACAGTGACCCCAAGGGTTGGCGCCTCCTGCCACGAGGCTCACAGCCCTGCACTGTCTCAGGGGTGCAGGCTTGCAGAGGGCTCCTTCCCATCAGAGGCTCCGCACCACACTCGCTCACAGCCACTCAGGCCTAACCTGGGGAGGCTGCCTGAAGCAGGGCAGGCTTCACGCTTCTCCCTCACTGCAGAACGAGGAAGTGGGCATTAGTCACCTCCACCAGGGAGAAACTGGCTCCACGGTGATTCCAAGCTAAACAGAAAGGGACGCATGGCTGACGTGGGGCCTCAAGACCATGAAGGGACAGGCAGGGGAGCTGAGCACCTCACAGGGACACAGGCCGGTGACGCCAGCCTCCTAGAAATGGCAGACCGCAGGCGTCTTACTGGAGCACAGGCAGGACAGGCCGCTGTGGGCACCGTAGGTGGCAGGCCTGTCCCCAGCGGTGTTGGTCACTCGCCCTCCCGCAGGGTTCAAGCTTCCTTGCGAACTCCACCAAGTCATCGTTGCCCGGTTTGCAGACGATGAGCTCATCATTGATTTTGACAACTTCGTTCGGTGCCTGGTTCGGCTGGAGACAATGTTCAGTACGTGGTGTCTGGGGAAAGTCCTGGGTCCGCACTGCAGAGCTGCCTCTCCCTGGGTGCCGTCACCTAACCAGAGGCCACGGCAGGAGCCACACCCCTGCAGGCGGAGGGAGGACCGTGAAAGCGCTGCCCCTCTTCAGCTCTGACTCCCTTTTCCCCACAGAGATATTCAAGCAGCTGGATCCTGAGGACTCTGGGATGATCCAGCTGGACCTTATGTCTGTAAGTCACAGCTGTCCCCTGAGGCCAAGGGTCCGGGCCACGCAGTTCGGCTGCCCAGAAGGACCGCTTTCCTCAGCGTTGCTCTCAAGCTCCACGGTCTCCTGGGGACAGGCTTGACTCTAGAGGCTAAGGAAAGTGTGGGCTCCTCCCTGAGTGTAGCACGAGGCATGGGAGAGGGATCGAGGGGCCCTGCACAACATTCAAGTCTTGGGAAGGCCTGGTGCTCCTAGGACAGACCACTTAAGACACTCCAGGAAAACTGCTTTTCTTACCTCCCCTCCCCCTTTAAAATACACCCAACAGATCTAGGTTTGCCCACATAGTGATGCCCCAGTAGTGCCCACCCCTATGGTCTCACTAATCCACTTTAGCTGGCATGCACTGTCACACAAGTCCTGTGCCATCTGATGTCAGAAGGCCCCTCGGTGAAAGAGAGAGGCCAGGCGCAGGAGGACAGCCACACGCACAGGCCACAGAGGGAGGCAGGACGTGGCTAGTGCTGGTGGGGTGGCAGAGTCCCTGTCCTGACCCCATGGGACACGGTAGCCGGGCAGCAAGGAGCACAGGGCTAGGGTCTGGCACCCTCTCCTTCCATTCTGCACTCTGGAAGGAGCCAGGGAACACGCAGCGGTTTCATCCTGCTGCTGCGCTTGGAGAAAACCTTTACCCAGCGGGAACCCCGTCTCACTGGCACCGCCCTGGCGACCTGTCCCCAAGCCCGCAGTCTTAGTGTTGGCGAGTCGAGGCAGCTTTGGCACCCTGTCCCACGCTGCCCCACCCCGCTCCTTCCTCCCTTCAGCCGAGACATGGCAAGGGCACCCAGTTTGCTGTGATTTCCCACTGGGGCTGTGGGTTTCACCTTGGGGGCTCTGCAGAAGCCCTGGTTGCCTGGGTGTGTCTCAGGCCCTGGCAAGGCCAGACTGCAAGTGTCCTAGGGGCCCTGCAGGGACCGCCTGGCCAAGCACTGCTTGGTAGACAGGTGAGGAAGGCTCAGCCCGGCTGACCCTCGGTCTCCCAGAGCAATCTGAAGGAGCCAAAAGGGTCAGGAGCAGTGCTGACACGACCGTGCTCTCCTCCGCAGTGGCTGTGTTTCTCGGTGTTGTGAAGGGGTGGCCAGCGCACCTGGAGGCTCCGGAGAAGGACCCTGGGACTGTGTCTGGACACCTGCATGGGCCTGGAACTGTGGGAACATTACGTACTCTGAGGATTGTAGCTGAAAAGAACACTCTGAGATAGCCAGACTGTTACTTAGCGGATAGAAGGTTTGCTATTATACTAAACGCAAGTGAGCTGCTTAACCCCCAAGCCCAAAGAAGCTTAAGTCTATAAACAGGACCACTTTTTACTTTTACACACTTTCCTTTTCGGAGCAATACTAAACCGGAAGACAGGGAGCTGTTTTAAGTCAGTCTCCAGGCCGCGAGAGCCTAACCGGGACATCAAGTTCTAAAACTCGGCGGTGCCATCTACCAGCTGGCAGCCCGGGGAGGGCCTGTCTCCAGGAGGAGTGGAGAGCCTGGGTGGGAACACACCCTCCTCATGGGCTAGACGAGAGCAGGCCGTGCACAACTCTGGTCCTTTCCCACACTTGGCCGCAGGCGACTCACCCACCAGATCCCACGTGCGACCAGTGAGGCCGTGGCCAAGTCAGGCTAGTTTGCACACTGAGGGCTATGACCCCGGCCCCAGACTCTCTTGTCCTCTGTGCCTCTCCGTGCTGAGGGAGGGCGTCCTGCAGGAGATGCCACAGCCCTTTGTGGCCAGACCTCGGGGAAAGCTGGTGACAGAAACATTGCCTTTGCCTTACCACCCTCCTGACGTCCTGTTAAATAAAGAGTCCCGCCAGCCACACTGCGCTGTTTCCTTCCGGCGGGCACCTGAGGGCACCTGGGTCATAGTGGCAGCTTCCCAGATGGGGAAGAGGAAGCATCGTACCCATGACCAGACTGCAGTGTGAGTGCAGACGCGCTTCTCGATCCGTGAGAGGACTCGGGAGCTCAGTGCCATCAGCCTGGCCCCAGCTGGGCAGGGACCCACAGGGGAGCGGAGTGCCTCCCCAACCCCCAGGAGGCATGGGGGCCGCATAGGGAGACGCGGTTCTTCCTGCAGATTATGGGGTGCTTCCTGCTCTGCTGCCATGTGGAGCTGAGGCCCAGGAGGGGAGGCTGGGCGTGGGTAACCAACGGCAGGCAGCTGGACACAGCCCGATAGTCCTGGGCCAGAAGGTGGGCACAGGGACTGTGGCTGAGGATGAGGCTGGGGCTGGGATCAGGGACAGAGGGCCCTGGAGATGCTAGACTGGGGTGCAGTGCTGTCCTGGTGAGGACTTCGCTGTTTCAGACTTGAGAAGTTGAAAAAAGAAATGGAGTGTGTTTGTAACAGCAACCAGAAGAGACCCAGGAGTCGGGGAGGAAGTGATCCCGTGCAGCGGTTTCCCACATAGAGCAAAGCGTGCGGACACCCGCCTCACAGGGGCCCCTGGCCAGAGCCTGCCCTGGCCCCGCTGGCTCGAGCCTGCAGCCCCAGCAGCTGCCCGCACTTGGCCCAGCTCCGGCTCCACCCTGCTTGTCCCAGCACCCACGCCCACACCCAACACAGCCCAAGGGCCCTTCCTGCCCACCCAAGGGCCTCCACCCGCCCACCAGGAGGCCTCTGTTCCTGGCCTCTGTTACCTGGCACCACGTGGCAGCAGCTGGTCAGATATCCAAAGGCGCTGCTCCACCACCAGCGGTCACCTGGTGGCCAGTCCTGCCTACCCGCTGCCCTGGATGCCACTCGCTGCGGGGTTGGTGTCCCGGTGGTTTACACTCCCTGTCCTTTCCCCAGGGCTTCTCTTGCTAATTCTGGCTCCTTCCATGTGACTCCCCCAACATGCCTGGGGCTGTTACAGCCCCTCAGATGCCTCCTCCCTTAGAACCCAGCAAACCCCAAGCCTCCATGCTCCTCTGAAGCGTGGACCATGCCCCAGCTGCTTTATTCCTACTTTGCAAAAACCTAAAAACCGCTACCATTAAAACGACCCCAGCACCAATTATGCTCTGCCAGGAGAGAAGGCCACTAAGCTGTGTGTCCAACAGACGCCTGACTGGCTTGGTTATATGATGGGATATTACAAAGCCATTAAAAACGCTGTGCTTATCATGCAGTCCAAGAATGGAACCGAAGACAGGTCAGCTTTAACAGTGTGCTCTCAATTATGCCAAGAGAATCATAGAAAAGGCTCCAAAGAAATATGCCCGAGGGTTAACAGCGCTTCTAGAATGCCCTTTCCCACCCTTCTGCTATACTTTTAAATATTCCTACAAGGAGCTTTGATATTAAGATGCTTTGATAACAAATGGATGGAAGAACAAAAAAAGGAAACGGTGTTCTAAGTTTTGGGCTCAGGAATATAAAACCGAGATACTTGCTCGCCAATCTTGAGTTTACCCAGAAGCCCTATGCATACACTCGCAGGTCTCCCTCTGCAGCTCTCAGGAAGAGGCGAAGGCATGGAAGGCTGCACATGGGAGCCCTCGTTGGGGAGCCCCGCGTCCCGTCAGGGTGGCCGGGTGGGTGGGTGACAGCCACTGCCCACCCAGAGTCCACTGCTGCCGCCGCGACACTCCACACACACAGAGTGGCTCAGCGCCACAGCCAGGTCCAGCGGCCTCGCAGTCCTGTGGAGTAGGCTCAGCTGTAGGCTCAGCTCCCCGAGGCCACCAGACTGAGGCCCTGCTTCCTGCCACGGCTTCTCCTCCGCTCCAGTTCCAGGCTCCGGAACCCACCACCCCCAGGCCCAGCCCTCTCCGGACCTCCCGGTCGGCCCTCAGTGCCCATTTCCTCCTGCTTCTGAAGATCAGGATCACACTGGCTTCCGGCTGAGCCAGGCTTATAGCTGAGGGCAGGCGAGCTGATCAGCAGCCCTCACCATGCAGATCACATGGGGCGAAGACCCCAAGGGCAGGAATAGGGGAGGCGGCTCAAGAACTTGCCTCCCTCTTTCTCCTGCCGAAGAGCTCACAAGTCGGTGGGTGTATGTCCATCCTTTTATCCACCATCCTCGTTAGATTTTAGCTACTCAAAGAGTGTAAGAAAAAGTGACTTCTTCATTGTATCATCTACTAAATTATATCTCTACCAGGCAAGATGGGCTCCAGGACAATGTGTGAACTTGGTGACACATCAGTACAATCAGTGCATTCAACTCTTGAAGCAGGAGTGAGGAGCCTCGGGTACCACAGTCTTCGTTCTACGCAAGGCCCGGTCCAACCCACAGCCTGCGAAACGGAGAGTTCTACACCCAGAGAAATGCTCCCTTCCCTTAATCACACGGCTGCTGAGGAAACCTTACTGCAGAACCTGCAGCTGCATTTAAACAAGGCTGTCTGTGGCACCAAAACAGAAACCAGTACACAGCTTAGAATCAAAAAGCTTAATTTTATTACAATTATTTTAAAAGTCAGCTATGATCTTGAGAAGTATCAAAGGTAAGTCTATTACAAGTCTCTAATTTCCAAGATACAAAAGATAATAAATATAGATTCAAATTCAGCCTGAAAACAAGATTCTAAATCTAGTTTAGATTAGGTAGTGTGGCTTAGTTTCAATATTCCAAATATATGTATATTCCTGAAGACGCTACCAGGACTCCTATGATACAGTTATTGCTCACGGACGGCCAACCTGGGCTCTTCACTGACCAGATCCAAGTGTGCAGCCTCGGATCCCAGGCTACCAGTGCCAGGGATGTGGAGGGCAGTGCTGATCTTTTCTGCAGAAGACGGGTACAGGGCAGTGCTGGGGACGCCAGCCACGGGACAGGAAGCAGATCCCAGCAGCACAGCAGCCCCACTTCTTACAGCAAACAGGACCTCTGCCGTGGGTCTCCTGGCCTTGTCCTCTGCTGCCACGCCCGTCCCTGTGCCAAGACCGAGAGTCCTGTCCTCCGCTGAGGGGACTCTTCCATCCTTCATTTTCTCCAGAGCACATTTTTCACTGATTTCGAGCTACACTGTCATTAACATAAGTCTAGTGAAAATTTTGCCCAAAACAAGTGTATTATTTCTTCTTAGTGAAAGCACAGAGTAAGTCTTCGTTAGGTAAAATTCTGTGGAGTTTCAGGCCAAGCTCCTTTGTCTTGGTTTGATTCTTGGGTACAGCTATAAGAGAGTTTTAAAAAATACTGACATATCATGCAGGGGGTGTGGGTTGTGACAAAATTTCACGAGACTCTAGGAGGAGGGGGACACATACAAGAGGAGGGAAATCGAACTAAGAAAAGCACTCTGCCTTGGACCAGCACAAGGTCACACGGGCCCAACCTCGAACGCCCACGCCAGGCTGGAGTCCAGTCCCTGTGGTGAGGCTGAGGCTGCGGGACGCGTTCCACACTCCAGCGATACAGTACAAAGACAGCGCAGCAGAGACTGAAGTGTCCCCAGAGGACGAAACAGGGTGGTGGACCCAGGCCAGGACTATGGCCTCTGTGAGCAGGCAAAGGGAGAACGGCACCTTCTCTGCTTTGCAAGCCTGCGGCTCAGCCTTTCCCACAGCGCAGCTGAGAGCAGAGGCCAAGCTGCCCACCCAAAGCGAGCCAAGCTAGCACTGCCCTGGCAACCAGACAGAGCTCTTCCCTCCTCTCCGAGACCATGGAAAACTGGGTTTACTGAGGTACAGACTTCCAGGCCAGGAAACTAACTGGGACCAACATCAGAAAAAGGTCCTTTTTCTGAGAAGAGTATTTAGCCAATTCAAGGTTCTGGACTCAAGAGCTAAAGACTCTGCCCCAGAACACACCAGTTATGGACTCCACTTCTTTAAACATCAGGAGAAAACAGAATTGTGTAGGCCACACTTCTGACCAGGAAAGGACCAAGAGCATCTAAACTTAGGACTGAAATGCCAGCTTCAGTCCTCTGCCAACTCCGGAGCCCCTGGGCACAGCCTCCGATCGACTGCTTCTGTGCTCAGCAACAACCTTCCGGGTCAGTGGCCGGCCATCCCTCAGTGACTTTACACGGACTCAAGAGGTCCACTGTATACTACGGTGATCTCGGTTAGTGTCGATGTATCATGTTCTCGAAAACTGCACTCTCACTGCAAAAACGTTAACTGAGGTAATGTTAATTAGCTTGATTTACTGTCAAGTGTATATATTATACAACATAGGTGTGTGGTGTCTCTACTTGGTGATTTCAGAATTAAAGCACCCAGCTCTCACTGCTTCCCCGAGAACCCGTCTGGGTAAGAGAACCCTCTCCTGGGCAACAGAACAGTTTCTGCACAAGCTCCTCGCAGCAATGTTTTTAACTTGATCACTCTTTTACTGCACGCTGTGATCCCTCACGTGGACCCTAAGCCCAGAAACACGTGTCATAAACAACGCTGCTCTGGGGGCAGTGACCATCACCATGTGTGACGTCCCTGTGGCCATGGAGAGGAGGTCGGGAGGGGACCCTGGGTGGAGTCCACCAGCCAGGCCCTCACAGGAGTCACCAGGACCCAGCCCATGCTGCAGGGCACCGCAACCTGTCCTCGCCTCCAGCTCAACCTCCTTACCAAGAGCAGGCGGTGCAGTGCTGTCACCCGCAGGCTTCACGGCCATCTCTCACCTACCCGCCTCATTCCGCTCCTTCACACCCACACGCCCTGCGCACACAGAGATACCCGGGCTCTGCCTGCTTAACACAATCCTCAAATGCATTATTCTACTCTGAGCACAAGACCACCGGAAATGTCTACATCTAAGATTCCAAAAGCTTACAACTCCATCCTCGTAAGAGGCAAGGGGCCGCACTGCGTTCACGGTACACGGACCCGGCCAAGCCCCCCGCCCTCTCTCACACGCACACGAGCGCGCGGTGGGTCACTCACGCCTAGCAGGTTGCGTGGGACGTAGCCCTCCTGGTCACTCAGCCGCGCCCACCACCACTCAATCTCGTCGTCGTCCTCGCGGCGGACGATGGTCATGCAGTCCCCTTCCTTCATGGGCAGCTCGTCTGCGTTCTGAGGCTCGTAGTCCCAGAGTGCATAGATGACTCCCTTGTTCATGATGCCCATCTTCTCCTGAACCCCTGGAGACATGACAGAGGGACAGCAGAGGAGATGTCACTGGGGCCCCGGGACTGGGGGACATCGGAACTGCTGCAGTCCCGGTGAGGGAGGGAGGAAGGCAGGGCCACAGAGCCCACGAAAGACGTGGGAAGAGGCTCTGTGGCGTCCTACGCAGCGCTGACACCAGCACCTCACAGAGCTGGTCTCGCTTCGAAAACAAAAACTTTTGCCAGCCCAGGAACCAAAAAGCAGCCCAACTCCAGGATATTACAAGAATAAATGACCCCTTGTCAACTTTCAGCCCTCTTCTAAATGTCATGAGCAAGAGATTCTGAAAATTTCATTCATTCTTTACCCCAAACACACAAAAGACAGAAAAAATCTATTCAAGGGGTCTGACTGAGACCCAAAGGGGCAAAGGAGAGAAAACACACTACACCAAGCATGTTAGAATGTAGAAATTCAGCAGTTTAAACACGATATAAAAGTTCACATACATTCAACTCTAAAATAATGAAAATAAGAATTTAAAAGATGTTAAACTCCCAAACTGAGGAGAAAAAAATCTTCAAAAGCCCCTTTTTCACCATAGTGAGTAATCAATCTATAAATTAGCTTTCAGTGTTACCCCTCTCCATTTATACCTTCCCTTCCTAAAGGACCACACTAGTGAAAGAAAAGAAGTCATCAGCCACGAGGCCACAGGGAAAGGCAGAGGGAAGGAAAGGAATTGGGTAACAAGGCTCTTAGTGACTCAGAGATAATTATTATTATTTTTTTTTATCTTATGTCTTGAAAGCCAGGAAAATACCTGCTTGCTCTTGAATGGATCCTTCAGCTTACATGAGCATCGAAGTATTAATTCTGAACTATTATACGAGGGATGTACCATTCTCAGTCATGGCCCTTCTCTTGCTCCCTGTCTCTCCCCATCTGTTTATCTCTCCGCAAAAATGAAACAAGAAATGAAATTGTTCTTCACCAAAAGAAACCTCTACCAATCTAAAGGGTTGCAAATATTTCCAACTTTCCTGCTCAAATAAGATTGCAAAGCATAACAGAATAATAATCAGGATACTGCTATGATTCCACGAAGTTTTATAACTGACTGAACTCATATCTGTTTACGATGGGAATGTACAAACAGCTAGGGAAGAGATTCTGGACACTTTAATGCGCTAAAGATAACAGCTCAAGTCCCGGTTTCAAAGAAAAAACCACTAAGAATAGAAAAATCTCATTACTTTGCATTTTGCCAGCCAAAGGGCTGCAAATTTGTTTGTTTGGTTTTTTTTACAAAATTTCTGAGGGACCTAAAAACACACGCAGTGTCATTAGTAAGTTCAGAAATGCAAACTGAAGGCAGCGCGGCCCCAGCGCAACTCCACCAAGGCCATGTGTTGGCAGCAAGCAGAAGCAAGTACGGAAACAGAAGGAGGGCAGGTACACACCAAGGCCCTGCACGCAGACCCCAGCCCAAACAACCTGACACAGCCAGCTGAGCGCTGAGGAGAAACTGGTGGACCTCCTGACCCCTCCCTCCACCGAAAGCCTGGACACAGACACAGCCCAGGTGGCGCCGGGCGGGACGGGCTGAGTCCCCTGCCAGCCACACAGGAGCGCTGGAAACTCAGCATGCAGCGTCCTAGGCCTCACCGTGTGAGCCCTACCGCCTCCAAACTCTCAGGACAAACTGAAGAAAACAATTAACTTCAACTTCTAAGCCTTGTAAGTAAAAAAACTGTAGGGCTAGGGATTTAGCTCAGTGGTTCCAGCACCTGCCTTGCAAGCGCAAGGATCCAGTTCAATCCCCGGTAAAAAAAAAAACTGTCTGTGAATAGAAATCCAAATTAGCACGTACCCACCTAAAACTTCAACTCTGTTTTTCTGTAGGGAAAGATCTGAAGTTAGCAATCAGAATCATCAACTGAAATCAAGAGGTGAAAAGAGAAAAGCTCCAAAATATGCGCCAGCTCTGATTTTCATTCTGCAACTGATCTGTGTGGAAGCCTGGCGCCCGGCTTCCTGTATCGATGCCGTTTCCGGTTCCGGGGTGGGGTCCACTTACTCACTGCAAGCGTCCAGCACCATGCAGTCCGGAGCCCACAGGGCCTCCTGGGACTGAGTGGGACGCTGCCCATGGCCAAGGCCAGGTGAGCACCTGTGGCCCGGGTCCTGCGCTCAGTGCCCAGGACGACGCCCAGTGAGACGCCCTGGGCGGAGGCCGGCAGCACGTACCGTAGAGGAACTGGGAGCACTGCGTGTAGCCCTCCTCCATCTCCTCACACTTGTCGGCTGCCGTCTGCATGTCACTGTAGGTCATGGCGAACACGGCCGCGCCGGACTCCACCAGGAACTTGCACACCTGCACGTTGTTGCACGAGGCTGCACAGTGCAGCGGGGTCCTGCAGGCGAGAGGAGAGGATGTTTCCACCGCAGACAGACGGCGCTGCGGCTCTGCCTCGCAATCCAGGAAGGGGAGACGAAGCAAGTTGAGTCCATGTCTGATTCCCCAGCCCAGTCCCCGCGCCAGTGTCAGGGACGTAACAGCCTAATCCAGATGCTGCCCATGAAACACACCCTAAAAACCCTCTCGCCACCCCTCTGCAGGTATCCAGGTCACACTGTACAGCTGTGCCAGATGCCCCCAGCCTCGTGCAGTCATAGGTGGGCTTTTCAGAGGGGCGGATCTGGAGTGTGTGACTGATTCAGGGTGCACTGCTAGGCTCAAGGGCGCCGGGGTTAAGGGTGTGAGTGCTGCCGCCCTAAGTAGTCTGGGTAAGAACAAAGGGCCAGGGAGATGCTGTTAAGGTCCCTTGCTTGCTTTTGCCATCTTCTGTCTGCAGTGAACTGATTCTCCTCTGCAACGCCCCTCTGCAGTGTGCCGCCCTGCTCAACACCAGCCAACTGTGAGCTGAAACTTCTACAAACTGTGAGCCAACTAAACTTTTCCTCTAAAATTTAGGTATCGGATATTTGTCTCAGCAATGACAGAAAAGCAACTAAGACACACATGTAAGCTGTCTTCACAGTATTTTGAGAATACAAAGTAAATTTTAATTGAAATTATTTGTCAATTCAATTCAGACCAGAAAGGTAACTGTAAAACACACACTTCCTCCTGTTTCAGGTAATTGATTAGCAGGAACTTATCAATGCCATGAAGGAGAATTCCCAGCATTGCAAACATTCAGATCGCAAGTGACCCTGAATTAATAGCAAAGGTGGAAGGGGAGTTTTCGCCCCTCCTGCCCCAGCAAGCAGACAGCTCCAGAACGGGTCAGCAGCAGTGTTCTCAGCTCACTGCCCGCCCCTCTCCCTTCACTGGGCACATGGTCTTTGAAAGAAAAAAGAGCTCCCACCCCATTCCAGGGAATGCCTGAAGGTCCAGTGAGTACTACCACAGAGTTCCCACACAACCAAACTCCCCACGTTAGGGAAGCAAGGCCATGACACAGCAGGGATTTGTTTTGGCTGAAGAGTCTCACACACACACACACACACACACACACAAGAAATGATCTTAGCTACCTTTTTAAAGCACACAAAAAACAGCTGAGGGGTGAAGGGTGGCTGAACGGCAGAGGCTGTGATAAGGCCCTGGGTTCAATCCCAGACACACGAGAGAAGATGGGCGTGAAGTACTAAGAGAGTTTACTTATCAGCTGTGCAGATGCAGTGATTCCTTTCCCCATTTCTCTATCGTGTACATTTCCACTGTGGGCACACATTACTATTAAATGTGATCTTTTAAAAAGTATAATCACAAAAGCTTCTCCAAGAATTATTTATAATAAAACAACATCAAAAGAGAAAACCAATCTAAATGACTACTGGGGAAACAGCCGCGATGAATGCACACTGCCCCTCAGTGGAAGAACATGAGGCCATTTCACAGCTATGTGCAAGCCATGTGTGCAGTTTACACGTGTGTGCATGAGAATCTGATACTGTAGTGCTACTTCTGACACCTGTTAAGTTTGCACCTGAAATGTCCCCACCTGGCGGTGTGACTGGGAGGGGTACAAACACTAGGAGTTGAAGCTTAGCAGGAGGGAAGGGTCATGGGCTGCCTCGCAGTGAGTGTTCTGCCCCTAGCCCCAGGGCTCCTGCTCTCTGCTTCCCCGTCCATGTTCTCTCTTGCCTCGGGCCTAAGGCAACGAGGCCACTGGCAGGGACAGAAGCCTCTGAAACCATAAGCCAAGCAAACCCCTCCTCCTTCAAGTCACTGCTCTCAGCTATTCTGCCACAGCTACAAAAAGCTAACATAATACTAAAAGGAAAGACGCATTAAAAAATAAAAATACTATAGCATGGGATTACAACTTTTTAAACAGTTGCCCGAGCCCAAAAGTAACCTGAAAATTCTAACTAGAGAATCCCAGAAGTAAACGCTCCATGAGGTCTGAACTGCACCTGTTCTGATGCTGTGATCGAGTCACGCCTGGTGCACTCTGTCCCACCAGGACGCAGACCCTCCCACCCAGTGTATCCATGTTGTATATGCTGCCTGCCTGTTAGTCACTCTGTCACTGACCCACTAGTCACTCGTAGTCGCTGACCAATGGTCACTGTATCACTTGTGTCCAAGCAGATGACTGCTTCATGTGGACACACTAATTCCACAGAGCCTAAGGCCACATCTCTCCAGCTGGGCACAGAGGCTGGAGGACCGGCAGGGACACTGCTCACCTCCAACAGCACAACCACCCACCCACAGGCTGAGCAGGACCCATACCACCCATCGCTGTCGGCAGCGTTCACGTTGACCCCGAACTGCACCAGGAACTTCACAATCTCTGTATGGCCTGCACACACGGCGTTGTGCAGCGCGGTGATGCCCTCATCGTTTGGCAGGCTGGGGTCCTCCACCTGGAATAGGAGAGAGGAGCACAGCTGACTTCCTGACACCCTGACGTTACCACCGGTGGACTCCTCGGAGAAGAGAGCAGAGAAATAGACTTTGGTGACATCTTTCACAGTGAAAACCTACAGGAGCAAGAAAACTACACCAAGAACAATCTTAGAAATAAGGCAGACAGAACAGCTACTTTAAGTAGGTACTCACAGAGAGGACTTTTTAAAAAAATGGATGTCATGGGCCGGGGATTTAGCTCAGTGGTTCCACCGCCTGCCTTGCAAGCGCAAGGACCCGAGTTCGATCCCCAATACCAAAAAAAAAATGGATGTCATTTTTGTTTATCCTCCCAACTTCCTACCATCCACTAATTTCTAAGTAAAAGTTACACCTGCTATGGAAAAGAAAAAAGGCAACTAAAAATATTTTCAATAGTAGCCTTCTGAAAAGTAGGGACCACATCTGTGATCCAGAGCTGTACAAGTGTACACGTAAGAGATTTTTAAAGGGTCAAATCTCCCCAGGCATGAGGAGTCCTCTAAACACCACGTGAGGGTGAACGCCTATATCATCAAAGTTTTATTCACACTTTTAAAACAGCAGAGCTCCAACGCTCCTCCACCCAACAACCCTAAAAAAGAAATTTAAAAATACAACTTCTCTAGAGTAACTTTCTAATTTGAGCTCTAAAGCAAAATCCACAAGGTTACATTTCAGAAATGAACCGGTGATGGTCATACCTCATAAATAATTCTCTGCACAAGGTCGAATTCTCCCTCCAAGGAGGAATCCAGGAGCAAGGCCAGAGGGTTGAACTTGACCCTCATTCCATGTGCAATCCGCTCGGAGCCTGTCTTTCGCAAGTTTGTCCTTTTGCCCTGAAGCAGAAAGGCATGGAAAATGAAGCAAAAGAAACAAAAGGGGAGGAAGAGCTCAGCTACAGCAGCGAAAGGAACTTTAAAAATATGTGATGTAGCACACTGTATCGCAGATAGCACCATTCAGAAAAGCACACAAATCACACCACCACCCCGGGGGCCTGAGGGAGGAGCTGGGCCTTGAAGCTCCTGGTGACATCGAAGGTGGGAGCATGGTGGCCTGGGCAGTGGGGCTGATTTGGCCACGGACCCCACCAGCCAGGCCTGGTCTCTGTGCAGCTCAATTACGGAGGCTCATGGGACAAACGACCATTCATCTCGCCTCACAAAAGCCCCACTGTTCCCAACTCACACAAAAGAGAACTAAGGCACACGGCCAGTGAGTGGCAGAGCTGGGACTCAAACCCAGGCGACTGGCTTCTCTGACGCCCCTCGGGCCAAGCACACAGGGAGGCCAAATGACATGGATAAGTACTATCAACAGTCTACCCAGGAGGGTCCCACTAGGCTTACAGTGTTTTAATAAGTCAGGCTCTGTGAAAGGCACCAGGACATGAGGCACGTGCCTGTAATCCTAGCTTCGCAGGAGACCGAGGCAGGAGCATTGTGTGGTGGTGGCCAGCCTGGGCGACTTGGCGAGGCCGTCTTAAAAACTAAATTAAAGAGGGCTGGAGTGCAGCTCAGCAGCTGCCTGACACATGTGAGATCCTGGGTTCAATCCCCAGTTAACATGCACTCCGCCGCAAGAATCTGAAAGACTAGATATAAATCCGATAAAAGACTTCTGAAACACATCCAAAGAAGTGGAAAAGTTCCTCAAATGTACAATACACGCTTCTCTCTCATTTTACAGCAGATATAGAAAACCACTGAGTTCTGAAAACATGAAGTGTCAAATGGTATAGCTCACAAGCATACCAGGGCCCGTGGCGTCCTCTGTGAAGGGCTGCACACCATCCCCTAGAGGGCCGCGCTGTGCCCACCCCAAGGAGCAACGCAAGCCAACCTCCAACACCCGGCACAGGAGGAAGGGGGGCCTTGCTTTCCCAGGAAAAGCACAGCAGAATCTTCAAAAGAAAGCACAATCCTTTCGCAAACCCAAGCTCCTTTCTCCTCAAAAGTGTGAATTCTCTTGACACACTCACCGGCTGCAGCGTGGGCTGGTTTTGCCAGTGAGGCTTGAACTCCTTCCTTCTCTTTCACATTTAAAACTCAAATCACAGAATTGTGCCTCATCCCTGTGGTGCAGTACAGTTGTTTAAACAGTGTCAGCGTCACTTTAAAACATTTTTCTTTAGGCTGAAATGTTTACTACCGAGCAGTTGTAGGCAGATTTTTGCTGAAACCAGTAAGTTAACTACAGATAACCATCAACTTTGAACACTGTCACAGCTAAAATTTGGTCTCAGGGCCCAAACAGCAATTTGCTACCTTGCTTTTAACCGTGTCTTAAGCTCCTGGCTCTGCACGCTTGTGCTTATGGAAACAAAGCAACTTCCAGACAAAACAGATGATCTGCGGACATACTGGAGCTCCCGTTCTCATCTATTTCAGCGGCAGGATGCACTTCTGAGCAAGCACTTGCTCCCTGGAAGACCTCAGAGGTGGACAGAGCCCACGCAGCAGCTCCCAGAGCCCCTTCCGGTTAGGGGCCAGAGCTTGGCATTGGCAGGCGCCTCAGACCCTGCTGCAAGGGGCACAATCAGCGATGCCCCCACCAGCGGCCCCACTTCATCCACCCTGCCGACTGCACACGCTGCCATCCTGACAATCACCTGCATTTCACTAAAATAAATGTCCTGGCGGGAGTGTGGCTCAGTGCTAGCGCTTGCTGGCTTGTGCAATGCCCTGGGTTCCATTTCCAGCGCTGAACAAAAATTTAAAATTTAAAAATTCATCGCTAGGAGAAAAAGTTTGAAAAAGAGTGACAGTGCCACCCAGAGAAGTCTCACCACCGGGCAAGTTCACAGAGCCAGCCCAGTGCTGTTCAAGCTCCGATCCACTCAGATGCCCCAGAGTGTGACATGAGCTAGAGAGAAACGGCAAGCACCATGATGACCGCAGGGGTGAGAACGGACACAGTCCTCTACACAGATTCGAGGTCTTCCTTAAAAGGCAGAAATGTTCCTTATGCTAAATGTGCTGTGTCTGGTTTGATTTTAGCCATGTTTTCTGAAACAGGGTCTTGCTCTGTAACCTAGGCTGGCCTTGAACTCCTGACTCTCCTGTCTCGGCCTCCTGGGTGCTACAATTACAGGTGTGCGGCACCGCACCATGCTTCTGCACATACTGCATTTTTGTACTAAGATCACCGTGTGCCAAGGGGAAAGACAGAGGCAAACCGCAGAAGCCTGGGGCACCACGCAGTACTCACGGGGGGCAGGGCACCCTGTCCGGTGACCTCAGGGGGGCGCATGCTGGCGAGGTCCTCTCCGGGCACGTCGGGCTCCCCGGACGGGTAGGGCGGCGGGGGGTACGGGGGGTACTCCTCCAGGTACACCTCCAGCGGGCGGGGCGGCTCTGCACGGGGCTCCTCCTCGGCACCCTGGGCGCCCGGGCTGCTGTCCGCTGCCCCTTCAGGCACACAGTCGAGGCCTGCGGGAGCAGTAGGCCTGTTGCTGTCCTCAGCCCCGGGGGGCCCCACGTCCTCTGGGGACGGCGGCACGGGGGTGGGGGCGGCCTCCTCCTCGGGCTCCACGGGTAGGTAGGGGTTGGGGATCTCCCCGGTGCCCTCCGAGCCTGCGGGCGCGGGCACTTGGCAGGGGTGCGAGGGCACCGAGAGGGTCTCCATGGCGGCGAGCGTGGTCCTCTGGTACAGCAGCTTCTGGATGTTGGGCCCGCCGGGGCCCTCGGGCTCCGTGATGGAGCTGCGCTTCTTCAGCGGCCGGGGGGCGTTGGCCAGCTTCCTGCGCAGGGCCTCCCGGTCGGCGTCGTTCTGGTTCCGGTAGGGGTTGGACAGGAAGGGCAGCAGCTTGGTGGGGCTGAGCGGGCGCGGGATGCGCTCATTCTCCTGGCTCTCGGGGGCCGAGCACGCGGGCTCCGTGTCAGGCTCTGCGCTGCCCGCTGGGCCCTGGCCGCCGCAGTACGCGTTGTCCGGTGGCTGCGGCGGGGTCTGGGCTGCCGCAAGCACAGGCTTGCCATACACTAATCAGAAGAGGGAAACAACAACAAAATCCGGGTTAGGGTTGCGTAAGCAAAAGAGGCCAGGAACAAAAAGGGCCAAGAGTAGCTACGCCTCTTTCAACTTCCAGGTTACTTCACAATGTCCCTGAAGCACAACCGATTTCTTAAATCCCATCCTCCCATAACAAAACCACAAAACTGAAGTCAATATGTGCATCAGTATTTTACGAACTAGTAAGAAAGAAAATGTTGTTTTAATAAGAAATCTGACTGGCATCCAAATTAAAAATATCAAACTGTGAAAAAACAGAGCCCATGAAAACTGGAAACCCTCTCAGGCGTCTAGACTGAACCTCAACATGGCCACGCCTCCCTCAGACAGCTCAAGGCGAGGCAGTGGGAGAAAGCAGGCGCCCTGCACACAGCCTCTCCGGACCAAGGCCACCACCCTCATCCTGGCCGCAGTGTCGCATGAGGCAGGGCTCCTGAAGGCCCCTTGAACAAGAGGGGCCACCACTGCAGCCTGGGGACCACGGCATCGGTCCCAGAGGGCCCAGGGCCTCTGCTGTGTCCCCACCAGCGGGTGGCTCAGCCACGGCCTCCGCCCGAGGCCTTACCACTCGCGAAGTGTGGGCCACGCGGCTGTGTCCTGGTCAGCACACTCTGCACCGCCTGCTGGAAGTTCTTGCCGGGCGCCTGGTGCCGCGTGTACATGGAGTAGATGGAGCTGGCCGCCAGCGTCTGGGGCTTCCTGAAGGCCGGTGGGACGGCATCTTTGGGAGGCTGGGGCGTAAAGGGCCGGACTGCAGCGGCGGGGGGGCTTTCCTGCTTAGGCCCTGTGGGCAGGCCATGGTCGCGGCCACCCGAAGGCACACTGGGGGACAGCACCACCCTGGGCTGCGACCCTGCTGGCTTGGGCTTATGGCCCACAGCTGTTGAGGCAGCTGGCAACTGCTGCGGGCTTCCCTCCAGCTTGGTATCAGAAGGGGACGTGCTGGCTTGTCCAAAATAAGGCAAGTTAATCTGTTTTGGTTTTGTAGGAACAGGAGGTGGCACTTTAGCCACATTCTTGTTTGCAGCCTGTAAAACACACATACAGAGCCAGTTAGAAAACTGTACTCCAGGTAGCCAGGCTGCTGCAGGTAACCCGATTTCACAAACATTATATACACTGTAAAACATTAGCTCGACATCTCTCCATCCCTTACTGAATCACCGTGACAGGGCCTTCAGAGGTATGACAGACTCCCGTGACTTTCTCCTCTGCTCCTCCTCCTGTTTGGACCAGTAAGTGACACTTGGACACTGTCACTGGCTGACTTTGGTGTTCACAGTCGGCCCCTCTGCATGACCCTATTTAACAGAACCCACGCACCTGGGCTCCCCACTGAGCTCCCCCAACCGGAGCTGTTGCCACACACTGTGGCCTGCTTATCCAAGGTCAGCGTCCCGGTCCATGTGTCATACGCCTAGCCCCAGACCTCAAAGAAATAAGAGCCTTGGAAAGCACAGATCCTTCTTCCGTGCAGATACTCTTGAAGAGAAGCACACAAGTACAGCCCGGGCACAAGCGCACAGTCATTTCCAACGTGGTAAGAGCTGGCTCTGTTCGTGCAGGAGGGGCACAGCTCGAGTGCTGTAGCTTTCCTTGACCCCCAGTCCGCTGTGCTGCTCTCCCACATAACTCCGCCCCGCACCACAGAATCACCCGTACAGTGGAGGCCCTGATGCCCCTACCTGAGCGTCACGCAGGATGTCCTCGCTGCTCTGGTTTTTCCGCAGCGTGCCAAAGCCGGGCGGGACGGCGCTCTGGTCCACTGTGTCAAACATGGAGAAGGGTCGCACTTTCTTCTCCTTCTCCCTCAGCGGAACCTCCCCATCATCAACTGGGGATGGAAAACCACAGCCGTTCACACTGTCTGGAATGAAGCTGCTTCTCCCGTAGGCCACCTTCTCCTTCCTCTCGCTAAGCTCCACCCCCACCAAAGGCTTCCGGCTCGAAAGCTGAGCTGGAAACACTGCCGTGAGGGGACCTCAGCCTCGGCTAAGTGATGGCGTCTGGAAGTCAACTAAATGCCCTTCAAAAATCTTCCCAGGTGTCACTCCCTCGGAAAGAATCACCTAGGGGAGAAGACGGTGCCCTTCTGAGGGACAGCCTCACCTTGGTCTGGGGCAGGCCTAGCACTCTGGGGCATGGAGAAAAGGTCCGCACTCGGAGGAGTCCAGTCAGGGCCAGCGGGAGGGACTCTAGGGCCTGGGGTACAGGGAGAAGGTGGCTGCACCCTACACGCAGCACCGAGGCCCTTCCAGTGCCCTGCGCACTGCCAATACCAAGCCCTCTAACGACAGCTCTACACACTCAGACTCCCAGCACCACGCAGCAGACCTTGCATTTCTCATTCAGGATTCTCCCACCGTACTCAGTTTCATCAGCCCCAGCAAATGAAACGTCAGCTCGAGCCAGCAAGGACCGGCTCCTCCTCGCGGTAAGAAAACCTCACCAGCGACCAGGGCCACGTGGGGGATGGAGCCTCTGAGATGCCCAGAGCACAATGCTATGGGTGCTCTCTGCCTGACAAAAGGGCCTCTGTGCACTCGAAGCCGGTCTGGACCTTCACCCCCGACGGCAACCTCCAACTTTCACACATCAGTGTTTTCAGGCTTTTACTACACTGATATTTGAATTTCAAATGCCATGGCTTTTATTTTTCCTTTCTAGAATAAACAGAGCCAGATGACTCAGCTCTCTCTCCTCACGGCACAGTGAGCTTCGTCATGCCCTGCAGAACAGCGCTCAGAGCAAAGTGACAAAGCTGGCGATTCCGTCTTCCTTCCAGGGGTCCGAAGGGCGATGCTGTGAGGAAGCTTGGCCCCACTCTCCCTGCGACTGCCCTCCAATCTCTCCTTCCAGACAACAGCCTGGCCGCCCCTCCCATGTGCCTGGACTACACACGACGCAAATATTACACGTGCAGGCAGCCCTGCTACTCTCACCTGACTCTCCCAGGATGTTTATCTTCATTCTAAAAACTATCAGCATAAAGTTATCGTGGATAAGCACATAGGCGCCCCTGTGCCACTTGGCCACAGAATGGAGTCCCCTCCCCCTCTGTGCAGACAACACCGACATTTACAGGTGTGAAACACAGCGGTTCTCAGGCCACTGACATCAGCCCAAATTTTCCTACCGACCTAACAAGATGGAATGTCCTAAAGCAATTTTTAGATTTGCAAAATATTACATTTCATTTTCTGAACAGAATTCATATTATTCAGGGTTTTTTAAAAAACTTATCAGACAATACGAAGGGAATTTCAGATTTTAAACATGAATAAGAACATGCAAATAAGTTTTTTTGCTTTTAACTCTGAAAAGCACAGTGGGACAGAGAGCCACACTGGGGAGGATGGCACTGTCACCTTTGGCTTGCAGAGCGGCCGCGGTCCTCATGTTGGGCAGCGTCTGCACCTTCGCCTCAGAGGCCTGCGGGGCCATGGGACCCTCAGGCTGCGCCGGCTTCACCAGCAGCTCCGGCCTCGGGGGCAGCCGCGGCATGGTGGACGACTGGATGTA